GACCAGCACTAGCTCTGAGAAAGGTCTTCATCACTGCAGCCCTTTCCTTGAGCCTCAGGGAACTTCTTTTCAACATTTAGATCATGGGGCAGAAATTATATTACATTGAGACCCTCTAAGGCCCTTGATGCTTTGTAGTAATTAGGGAGTCAGACTTCCAGGGGCCAATTCAGTCCCCAGACTAACTGATTCAGAGCATCTGGGGGAAATTTTGGCCTGGAGGTGGGTCCCAGAAGGGAGATTCGTACTCTCAAAGGACACAAGTGGTCATCCTCACTGCACAAATGGCTGGCATTCAGGGCATCTATGGTAGGGAGTCACTCTGGGATTGCTGAGTCAGAATACATTATTAGTAAGAATAAATTATAGTAGCCAATGGCCCCAGAACTCCAATGGCATAATTTTTGTTTATATAAAGAATTAGAATGGTGTTTGGGTCCACAAGGTGGCTGTCCTCCAGAAGATCATACAGGGATCTAGGCTGGGGCGTTGGCAACTTTTTTCTCTAAAGAACCACGTAGTAAGCCCTTAAGACTTTGCAGAGCACACAGTCAGTCTATGTGGTGCCTACTCAGTTCCACTGTGGTAGAGACAGCAGCCACAGACAGCACATAAGTAAATGGGCATGGCTGTGTTTCAATAAAACTGTATTTTTAAACAGAGACTATGGGCCCTGTGGTTGTAGTTTGCTGAACCCTGATCTAGGCTATGATGGCTTCGCTGTCCTTCAGTTATGGTTTCTATAGTTGTCTGGGGTGTTGACTACAGCCAGCTCAAAGAGGGAGGAGTGTGGTGGAAGGAGAGAGGTAGGGTTTTATGCACCAGGACTGGTCATGGCATTCCTCACTCCCACCCAGGGTTCATGAGTAAGAACTCAGCCTGTCACATGATCACTATCATGTAAAGAAGGCTCGGGAGTTTCAAACTATAGATTATATTACAAACATCTGAGTGCACTGAGTGGTCTTCCATATAGAGGGGTGTTTTGTGCTTGCTTCCCCTGAGAATTACCAATGTTCATCTGCATCAGTGCCCAGAACTGTCTGTGGCATCTCCTGATGGCACTGAGCTTTAAGTATTAGGAAGTATTTTGAGAAGCACATAAAACATCAGCAGTGGAACAAGGGAGGTTTGGGGGATATGAGGGAGTCCAGCTGGACAGGGCGTGTGAGTGGAGGACAGAGAGGGTGATTGCAAACTAAAGGGAATAAATTTCACCCTGGGACAATGGGCAGGTGAACAAGGGCGTTTCCAAAAGTACAAGCTGGCAGAGGCAGCCAAGCCATTTGGAGAGACTAGTAGCATGAGTCTGGGTGGGAACCTCCTCAACACTCATGGGAGGGTGGAAGGGGAGCTCTCCTTTCCAAGGACAGTTAAGTCCCTTGCATGTGAAAGCTTGGCCTTTCAGGTTCACACAGGACTCAGCAAGAATGAATCACAAAAGCTTCTCAAAAAACTGGAGAGCCCAGATCCCAGGTTCTGCTGATGCTGGCTTTGGGTTCTTACCTTGGAAGATCATGAGAGGGACAAAATCTCTAGGATGCCTTGGGGCTTGTGGGCAGGTGGAAGGAAGCTGTAGCCCTTCTGAGACACCCACAATCACTGTTTGGTCTTTCCCTGTTTGTGCTCCTCCGGACACAGGCCAGGAGCACATCTGGGCGGGTACAGGAGTGAGGGGAGAATGAGCCAGTCCTCCGTCCCCCTCTATCCCACCAACCAGGATCCAAGGGCTCGTCATGCTACACCTAAAATGTCTTTGTAGACCAACAGCCCACACACCAAGACATGGAAATTCAAAACAGATATTTGTATTCACTTGTTGAGCTGGCAAGGATCTCCCCACTGCTCTTTCAGCGATACTACCAAAAGTGATTTATAGATTCAGAGAAATTCTCATTAAAATATCAATGGCATTTTTCACAGATCTCGAAAAACTAGTTCTAGGCTTTGTATGGAATCAGAAAAGGCCCCAGATAGCCAGTGCAACCATATGTAATAAAAACAAAGCAGGAGGCATCACTATACCAGACTTCAAGCTATACTACAAGGCTACAGTAATAAAAACAGTATGGTACTGGCACAAAAACAGTGACATCGACCTATGGACCAGAACAGAGAATCCAGAGATAAAACCATCCTCATATTCCCATCTGATTTTTGACAAAGGAAATAAAAATATACACTGGGGAAAAGAATTCCTCTTCAATTAATGGTGCTGGGAAAACTGGACAGCCACGTGTAAAAGACAGAAATAGGATCTACAACTCTTATCACCCACAAAAATTAATTCTCAATAGATAAAAGACTTTAACCTAAGGCATGAAACTAGAAGAATTCTAGAAGAAAATGTTGGTGAAACACTTATAAATATCAGCCTCAGAAAAGAATTTATGAAGAAGACCAAAACCACAATGACATACCACCTAACTCCAGTGAGTATGGCATTTCATTCCAAAGTTCCAAACAGCAGATGCTGGTGTGGGGATGGAGAGAGAGGGATACTTACACACTGCTGGGGGGGGGGTGCAAACTAGTGCAAGCTCTATGGAAAGCATTAGTCCCCCTGCTAGGTATTTTCCTAAAGGGGGTGGGGAAAGACATTATATCAAAAAGACACTTTCATTCAAATGTTTAAAGCAGCATGATTCACACTCTCAAAGATGTGGAAGCAACCCAAGTGCCCATCAATAATACAGGAGTGAATTAATAAAATGTGGTAAATGTATATGATGGGGTACTACTACTCAGCCATTGAAAATGGTGAGCTAATATCTCTTGTAGCAACCTGGATGGAACTGGAGACCATTTTTCTAAGTCAAGTAACTAACACAAGAACGGAAAAACAAACTCCAATGTACTCAATATTCAACTGGATCTAGTCAATCAATGCTTATGTGCATATATGGAGACAGAACTTAGCAAGAATCAAGCAGGTGAGAGGGGAGGAGGGGCTGGGTGAGTTTACACGTGACTGGTACAATGGACGCATTCTGGGTGAGGGGCACACTTGTAACTTTGGCTTCAAATGTACAAAAACCAATAATGGAACCAAAACATGTGCACCCCCTTTCAATGCTTGATGTGGTGTGTAAGAGATCAGAGACTGAAGTAAACAGTATTTGAGACTAGAAGCAGACATGGTCTGTCCTCTGCAAGTCTGCATATGTGAACGCATACATGTGTATGTGTGTCTGTGTGTGCGCACGCACGCGCGCATGTTGGGAATGGAGTCATTATGGTCTGGAGGGGAGCAGGGCTTGGTTGTGGTGTTGCTATGGTTATTAGAACTGCACCACTGGCTTCAAATTCTTCTGATGTTACCTTGTGCCTGTGCCTCCTCTGGTGTGCTTGTGTCAAGGTGGGTTTTCTGAAGGGCTTTCTTGGTACCTTGTTCTGCTCCTCGACTGCAGGCTGGCCCTGTGCACCTGCTCTTTAGAGAGGCCCTACTGTGTGCATCCTCTCTCACGCAGCAGGTGTTTCTGTTATTTTGTACTTGCTAATTCTGGGGACCACCAGGAGCGGTAAGTCTCATCTTGGCCTCGCCTCACTCTTAGGCAGACCCTGCATTCCTTATTCTTGCTGATGAGGCTTTCTTGGTATTTGGCCTCGGCCTGGCAGTAAAGACCAATGAAGGACCAATCTTCTCTGTCCTTCGCCCATGGGATTTCCATTTTTCCTTATCTTAAACCTTGATAGGTCTTCACTAGTGCCTAGAGGGAAGCAAAGTTAGGTGGTCTTTACCCAAAGGTTAAGGATTTTGTTCCATGGGACAGTATATTCATAGCAGCCTCACCCTGCACCCCTGGACACAGGATTTCTCCTGCCTTCCTCAGGAACAATGGATAGAGGCCCATGGAGAGAAACCTGTGTGCATTTAAATCCTCCCTTATGTCTGTGATCCTCAGGGATTTTGTATTCTCCTACTATCCCACATCTTCAGTGCTTGATTACAATTTGGAGAGGTTCTACTGATTATCGTGACCTTGTCTTTACCCCGTAGGTGGCCTGAAAGAAATCCAGTGTTTGCCTCCCACATCTCCTCCAAAGGCCTCACCTCCTTAGGTTACAAGGTGATCATTTGCTTTGCAATTTCAGCTCTTCTGTGCAGGAAAAGTAAGGATTTAACATACTCCAGATTCTTCTTGCTATTAGGATAGGATCAACACTACTTAAATGTTTTACATTCCAGCAGAATCCAGAAATTACCCCTGAGATTCTCAAAGAGATAGTTTGAGGATGACCCTTCAAGGGTTTATTTCAAACTCATCAGCAATAAGTCTGAAGGGGTCCAGGTCACACAGGAGTTCACCAGAGACAGACTCCTGGTAGGGGCAGGACTGGGGCTACTGCATGTGCTAAGGAAGGTACCGCAGACCTGAGGAGGAGGCAGCAAGGCCATGTGACACTGCACGGGGTCCCCATGGCACCTCTCCCTCTTCCCGTGGTCCAGCTCCATGCTCAGCCTTACCACCCCATCTCCATGGAGGACTCCAAACTGAGGGAGGAAGGCTGCACTCTGGCCATCTCGAAACCTGTTACTGCAAGTCACTGGGGGCTCAGAGATACTGGGCACATGCAGAGTGCCCTCCCTTACCACCTTACTACCTCCCAGGCCCAGCCTCTTGGGGCTGTGTGTGGAGAGGACAAGCCACCTCCGACAGAGGCACCTTCCCACTGATGGGCCCCTGTCTCCACTCTGCTCTCTGTGGGGAGGGTGCATTCATCTCTAGCCCGAGACACAAACACCGATTTGGCCTCCAAAAAAACATTTATTTCCACAACTGAGGTCACAAGTACAAAAACTGCCCCTCCCTGGCCTGTGTGTCCACCCCCCAGGAACAATTCCCCCAGACTCCACAATGAGACACCTCTCTGACCCACAGTCACCATCTGTGGGACACCCCTGTTGTGGCTCCTCCAGGCTCTGGAGGCTGGTGGGGCCTTCTGTTCACAGATCAAGGTGCTCTATCTGGGATGGCTTCACCGCTGCCTCTGTGGCCAGGAGCTTGTTCCAGAAAGCCACTTCCTTGTCCTTCAGCTTCTGGGCTGCCTGGGTGGTGGTGCCAATCTGCAGGTACCCTTCCTCCTGGTCGTACTCTGGCCAGTGGGGCAGTCCCTCCCCATTGGGGTTCCTGGCAACAGAATCAGATAGAAACCCCTTAAAGCTGCTGTGTGTCCCCAGCACTCATCCAAGATTTTCAGGGGTCTCCTGGCTCATCTCTGCCAAGAGGCTAGTAAATCCGCAGAGATGGGGAGCTGACCACCTCTTAGGGCAGCCTGACCATTTCAGACAGATCCCATGGTCGGAACACTATGGTCACAGGGTGGAAAGCTCGATCATTCAAACTTCAGCCTTCCGCATAGATGTGCCCTGCCCCCACAGACCCTGCCCCACCTTTGCCACCAGCCTTACCCGTTCCGAGCAAAGTTGGCCCAGAATTTCATTATCATTTTGCTAAGTCTGATCTCTTCTTCTGAAGCCCCCTCTGTGGGAACAAGAAAACAAGATGTCATTACTCAAAGTTTCATTAATGGGCTAGCAGGGTTAGAGTCACTTGGGAGCTTGTCACAAACACAGAGTCTTGGTCCTTCCTCCATACACACTGCTGGCTAACTGCAGTGTGCTGAGAGTTTGGAAGTGACTGTTCTAGGACTCAGCAGTGGGAGTCCAGTCCACCACCAACGCTGGCTGCCTTCTGTGCTGTGACCTCCGCCCTTTTCTCCCCACTCAGGGTCCCAATGCCAAACCTCAGGGTGTCCTAACAGCAGCCCCACCTCCCAGGGCTTCTCTTCTTGGTCTCCTACACCCACCCACATTTTCTTAGTCTGAAAAGTAACAGAGCTGTAATGGTCCTAAGTAATCACCTGACTGAGAGAAGCCCAGAGGCCCTGGGGTAACATGAACAGCCATGAAGTGGGTCACAGGTCGTCTATTACTACTGAGAGTTAAGGTGCTGAAGCTGTTTGTGAAAGGTTTCCTTTAAAACATCATGACATTAAATATTTTTAAGTTAAACAAATGAGATTTGATAAATGGACAGACAGAAAAAGGGACGGACACACATTAGACCCAATTCAAGGTTAACACCCATTCTAACCTTAACCTCACTTATATTCTGATTCTAACCTTAACTTCACTCACATTCTGATACCCTCTTGTGAGAGAAATATTGGTGACATTCTGGCCCTAGAGCAGGGCCTTGCATGTGACCAACGACCTGCATTACTGGTGGCACAGGCCACGATTCTAGAGTGACCCGGGCTGAGGCCACATGTGTGCACATCCTCCTTCATTCCTGTGGGAGATGGAGGAAGACTGAGAACTGTCCAGTTGTCATACAACCCTGTTACAGTGAATTGGGAAACTCAGACCAGGAGAGAAGGAGAAACTTGCTCAAGGCCTTCAACGCAAGATTGGACCCCAGATCTCCTAACTCTATACTCACAGACAGCAAAGAGCATTTACCTTTTTTTTTTTTTTTTTTTTTGGTACAGTCTCACTTTATCACCCTCAGTAGAGTGCTGTGGCCTCACGTGGCTCACAGCAACCTCCAACTCCTGGGGTTAGGCGATTCTCTTGCCTCAGCCTTCTGAGTAGCTGGGACTACAGGCACCTGCCAGAACGCCTGGCTATTTTTTGTTGTTGTTGCTGCAGTTTGGCTGGGGCTGGGTTTGAACCCACCACCCTCAGTATATAGGGCAGGCGCTCTACCCATTGAGCCACAAGCACCACCCCAGAGCATTTACCTTTTAAAAATGGGGCTCCAAACACAGAGAAGATCTCATCCCCATGGTCCCCTGCCACCGTCTTGGGTTTCATGTTTGAGGAGAAGCTTGGGCGGTACTGAAACTCATACATGTAGGTGGGGGCTCCAGCATCTGAGAAGACATCATGCACAGTTCATATTAACAGACACACCTGGATGGTATCAAGGCCCACGACCACGACAGAAACCCCTAGTTACCAGCACAGTCGAGAGACTATTTCAGGAAAGCTCAGTGTCTTGCTGAGGGCTGCATAAGTAATTAAGAAAGCACTGGGATTTGAGCAGGTATTTGTTGAATAAGTGAATGAATGAATGAATGCTGAATAAGTGATTGTTGAAACTCCAGGTTGATCGATTTAAAATAGCTATTATTACAGGGACACTGGGTCCCATCGCCTCCTGACACATTCACACATGTGAAAATCTCTCTCCATCCATTTTCCCTGCTCCCTTTCACTGCTAACAACACACTAGTGCTCAGTCACTAGAGAACCTCTTCTATTCAGCCTGATTTCAATCATTTCCAGCACCTTTTTTCCCCCCACTCGTTTCTGAGATGAGTGAAACCTATTCAAGTTGCTTATCTAAAACAAGGATATTTACATCCAAACACAGGCAGAGAGAGAATAATCCATCTCTTGTTTCTCAGGAAACCATAAAACTCAGGGCTTCATATTTCAATGTCTCCTCATATAATTTGCTTCCTGCCTGTCCCAAGGAGGGCTAAAGCTTTAAGGCTTTAAGGTAGTGGCAAGGATGAGAAGGGGACATGGAATGTGACCTTGCTTCTGTCCTGACTGCTCCGTTCCCCTCCTCTGCCTTCCTCTCTCACCACCAAAGCCCACTTGTCCAAGACCCAAGAAAATGCCAGTTTTCCTACTGATTGGATCATTGGAGCCACCAGGCCCAGCTCCATTAGGAGTAACTCAGGGGCTGCCCAGACCTATAGATCAGCACTTTGCATGGGTTATAATGTCTTGAGAGCAGTCACCCTAAGAGGGAAAGAACCAGGATCCAAGTAAGACTGGTGGAGAAATTTTACCAGTCTTACCCCCTCAGATTCAGTAAGAAATTTATAAAATGCAGAAAAAATGAAAATGAACTAAAAATCACTCAAAATCCAACCTCTCAGAGAAAGTTTCTCTATTTCTTTTTCTTGTTGTTGTTGTTGAGACAGAGTCCCACCCTTTGCCCTGAGCAGACTACAATGGCATCATAGCTCACTACAACCTCAGACCATGAGCATTTTTTCATATGTTTGTTAGCCATTCATCTGTCTCCCTTAGAGAAGGTTCTATTCCTGTCTCTGACCCAGTGGTATATGGGATTGTTGGCTTTTTTGTTGTTGTTGTTGATTAATTTGTGTTCTCTGTAGATCCTAGTTATCAAGCCTTTGTGTGATTTATAATATGCAAATATCTTTTCCCATTCCAAAGGTTTTCTATTTGCCTTGGTTGTTGTCGCCTTAGCTGCACAGAAGCTTTTTTGTTTAATTAAGT